TATATATATATATATATATAAACAGTGAAAGACACATGGCTGTGAATTTCCCTCAGAAGACCCCCTCCTCGCTTTGATGCTCCCTATCCTTCTCATCACCTTCTGAAGCAGTCCTGGAAGCCTTTTTTATGGGTGTCTTCAGTTGCACTGCCATGGGCTCCTTGCTGTTCTGAATCAATTCAAGGGCTCACCTTTCATGGTCATTTTGTCTCTGGGAAGGAGCCGTGTGTCAAACAGTGTCAGAGCCGCTCCAGTGAAAAGGGTGCATGAGGATACACTGTAATATTTTTAGGGGCCTGCCTTTCCATTGGGTGGCACTCTGATGGTAGCATTCACATGCTGTAAAGACACGAACTGCTTCGGAAAGTGGCAAAAATGATGGAATAGCCAGGTATGGTAGCACATGCCTGTAATCCCAGCTCTCTAAGAGGCTGAGGCAGGAGAGCTACAAGTTCAAGCCCGGCTTGGCAACTACATATTTGACTTAGTGAGACCTTGTCTCAAAATATAAAGGGCAAGGGACATAGCTCAGTGTAATGGCCTACAGTTCAGTACCCAGTGCCAACAAAAAAAGGGAGGATAAGTTCGTTTGAAGCAAGGGGGAGTACTTTGAGGGGAACTAATATCAATACATCTTTTATTGTAATAATCTTTTGTTCTCTTTCTTTCTTGGTTTTTTGAGACAGGGTCTCACCATGTAGTTCAGGCTGGCCTTGAACTCACTATGTGGCCTAGACTGGCCTTGAACTTGCAGTAATCATCCTTCTGTCTCAGCCTCCCAAGCACTGAGATTACAGGTGTGTGCCACCACACCTGGTTTGTTTGTTTTTTTTAAACTGTAACAAATTTAAAACTTTTTAGCATTAACTATATTTTTTATCACTCCCTGTATAGTCAACTTCTACAGGAAAACTTAAAAATTTAGGAATGAATTCCCCAGGCATTCAGATTCAGAAGGAGCCTAGGCTGAAGTTCATTTCTGCATTACCACAGGAAGGAAGGGTTTGATAATTAAGTTAATTAAATGCATGTATACCCCAAAGAAGGGAGGGGGAAGGCTTCACTGCCTAAGTGAAGTTATTCTTAAGAATTTAATGGTTATATGCAAACAACCAGATTCTATTGCTCACAAATGTGTTCTTTAAAAACCAGCAGGACAGAGACTAGGACTGGTGGCACATGCCTGTAATCCCAGCACTCGGAAGCTGAGGCAAGAGGATCGGATCGCCACAAGTTCAAGGCTAGCCTGGACACACAGTGAGTTCATGGCCAGCTTGACCTACACAAGACCCTATCTCAAAACAACAAAACAACAAAAATCAAATGGCTACAGCCTAGTGTGACAGCACATGCCTACAGTCCAGTCACTCCAGAGGCTGAAGAAGGACGCTGGGTTGAACTCAGGAATTCAAGGCCAGCCTAGGCAACACAGTAGGATCTCATCTCAAAACAAAAATAAAATCCAACAAACCAAAAAGCCATAGCTGGGAGCCCACAGATACAAAATTTAGGCCTATCTCCGTTACTAACCTCCCAGAAGCTTTCGTTAACAACTTTATTTCTCTCTGTGCCTCCTCTCCCCCCCTGTCAAATAGAGAAATCCCTATGTTCTCTACTTAAAAGGACCAGTCCATGCAGCTTACAAAATAATTTTGAACTATCCTTTAAGACAAAACAAAAAAAAACAACACTGGCTCTTCCTACTTAGGCAATTTTAATTCACTCCCTGTTACTTAGCATTTTAATAATTTTTTTCAGTACAGGGGACAGAACCTAGGGCCTCGTGTTTTACTACTAACCTACAACTCCAGCCACTGATAAATTTTTTTCAGTCTTTTTTCCCCTAAGTAACTTTTTAAAACCACAATTGTAATTATATGCAATGTATATTCTACACTATTCTCCCTAACACAAAGGAAACCTTTTTGTTTCCTTTTTTTTTCTTGAGATAGGGTCTTGCCTTGAAGTTCAGGCTCACCTTGAATTCACTACGTAGCCCAGGCTGGCATTCCTGCTGCCTCAGCCTCCCGAGTGCTAGGATTACAAACGTGTGCCATCAAGCCCAGCTTGGAAGCCAGTTTTTACAGAGTGCTCATAGTTTCACTTCAACCTCACAGCTTGTTTAAACTGAAGAAACTATACTTTAATATAGTTCATTTACAACTTTTGAGAAACGTATGTAAGTATTTGCTGTTAAATAAAATTAGTCTTTTTTTTTTTCTTTTTCCAGTACTGAGGATTGAACCCAGATTTTTACACTGACCTACGTCCCAAGCCCTCCACCCTCTTTGTTTTTAAAGTTTTGAGACAGGGTCTCACTAACTGTTACCCAAGCTAAGCTTGAACTTGTGATCCTTCTGCCTCAGCTGTCCAGAGTGCTGGGATCACAGACCTGTTGTGTGACACCACATCTGGCCTAAACCTAGTCTTCTGCCTTATTTATTTGTTATAAAACAGTCACTGTAGAGATAAGTTTACAATCTAAATAGACAAACTAATCCACATAAATCAATATGGCTATAGGCAGCCCCAGTATTCATGGTTTTCCCCACTGAACTAAAGACATAGCTCATTGGTCCCCTGTAATCCAACCAGCCTTTCTGAAGGAGAAAGTAGAAAGAGGTAAAGACAATGTTTCTAATACAGATATAAAACACTGAAATGCAATATAAATATAAAAACACCAGGTTTTTTTTGTCTTTTTGAGACAGGGTCTCACTACGCAGTTCAGCCTGGCCTTGAACTCACTTTGTAGTCCAGGCTGGCCTCGAATTCGCTGCGATCCTCCTGCCTCAGCCTTCCAAGTGCTAGGACAAAAATACCAGTTTTAAACTATACAACTGAACGTTGTAGTAATTCAGAGATTGAAGTCTATGGGTGCACAAATAAAATCTTCCTAAGAGATTTGCTATCAGCAAAGGGTAACCTGTCTTCTCAAATCCAATCTATTTGAAAATTAAAAATGCATTTCCTTTAAAATATTTTCTTGCCAGGCATGGTAGTACACACCTGTAATCCCAGCAGCTGGGAGGCTGAGGCAAGACTGCTGTGGGTCTGAGGCCTGCCTGGGCTACGTAAGTGAGCTCAAGGTCAGCCTGCACTACATAGTGAGACCCTGTCTCAAAAAAAATTTTTTTTTCTTTATAGTTATTTTATGTTGAATTTATTCCCATGCTGTTTTTGTTTCTTCTGGGCTATCTTGTAAGGACAGTCTCACTGCGGCAGGGGTGCACATGGGTTAATCCGGCCCTGAGCTCTGCAAGGACAGCGGCGCATCTTGGGTGCTTTGTTCAGCTGGGTATGTTCAATGACCAGAGAATCCACATCTAAACCCTTATTTATGTTCAACATCACTCTCTGCAGCAAAAACTGAGCACCCCGTTTGGGGCACCAACCCTGTGTCCAGCCCCCGTTTGGCCTGGGCACATCCATCGGCTCTAGCACTGTAATGCCGGAATGGCACACACTGCTTCTTTAAAGTGACATCCTGCAGATACCTGGTGGCCTTTCAGATATGCAGACCCTTGATGGCCTGGGCAGTTTCATGGGTGCTTTTGAAGTGAACACGAAGATTTATGCCTCTTGATTTGCATGGTTTTGTGGGGTTTTCTGGCTCAAGCGAGTAGCAAACCATTTTCACAGGTCACCTCAGGCTGCTTACAGGAAGAGCTAAAATATTTTCTAATTTAAAGAGAGGTGTTAATCCCCAGCAATACCAAAAAAAAAAGTTGGTTCTTCAATTGTACCTAATTAATCAGTACTCAGAGTGAATATAAAATATCCTGTACCAAGTAGCATGGCCAGGCAACATGCTAAGTATCAAAAATTATTATTAAAGCCAGGCATGGTGGTATATGTCTATAACCCCAGCACTGTGACAGGCTGAGGCAGGAGAATTTTAACTCTGAGCCCAGTCCAGACAACTTAGAGAACTCCGTCTCAAAATACAAAAATAGGGGCTGGGGATTTAGCTCAGCGGCACAGTGCCTGCCTGGTAAGCGTGAGGTCATGAGTTCAATTCCCAGTACCGGAAAAAAAACAAACAAAAAAAGCCACAAAAAACAAAAATAAAGAGAGCTGAGGATGCAGTTCAGTGCAAAGGCCCTAGGTTTAATTCCCAATACCACCAAAATATACCAAAAAAAAGCAACAAAAAAGAAAGAATTAAAAAAAAAAAAAAAAAGTATTATTAAGATACTATCCTAAATGGCTTTTGTTTTGACCTACTGGGGCTTAAAGGCAGGGCCTTCACACCAAGGTATATCCCCAGACCTTTAAAATTTTAATTATTTTAGAAAAGTTTTAAAAATTAATTTGGGACAGGGCCTTGGCAAGTGGCTAGGTTTCCCAGGCTGAGCTCAAACTTATGGTTCTCTTGACTCAGCTACCCAGAGTTCTTGGATTACAGGTGTTTATCACAATCCTGCTAAATAGTTTTATGTATGTATATGCACACTAAATGTTTCTTACATGCATTATCTCATTATCCTCATAATAACCACACAAGGTGTTACTGCCTCATTTATTTGTTTATTTCTCCGTTTTAAAAATGAGATGCTGAGAAGCTAACTTACCCTGTGCCACACAGGGGCCAGAGCTGTGAGTGTAAGCCAGGGTGGCTGACCTTAAGACCAACACTAATCATGATTCCATGCCTTCTTCTGTCTGTGGCCAATGCTCACTATTATTTTTGCCATTGTCTCAGAGGGAAGATATATGAGCAACTTAGGGGAAGGGTTTTGGGAAAGTGATCAAGGAGGATGTTGAAAATACAAAGAAACAAGTAAAGAACAAGAGCCTTGCCCTAAGACTAAAGGCCACTGAAGACCAAAGTCCCTGGCAATGTTCATCACTGAAGTTCACAACCAACCTTTAGTCAGAAATGTAGAGTGCAGGTGAAGATGGACGTCCATTCTGCCCCATGGCCACCCTTCCCAAGACCAACAGGAATATAGTGTACACTTCAGAGAAGCCTCTGAGTGCTACAGAAGTAGAGGCACACATTACTCTGCTAAGCTACAGAAGCAGAGACATGCTAAGCAGACACATCTTTGGAAATAATAAAAGTCACAAGACAAGAGGAAAGGCAAAGTGTGTTCACTTAGGCTGGAACTGAGACTTCACATAGCCTTGGCTCCTAGAGGACTGTCCTGCCCCTCTGCAGCTTCCTGGAGAAGTATGGCAGAGAAGAAAGGAAACTACTCACCCAAGAGAGGAGTGCAGCTGCCCGGGTGGCGTGGAGCGTCATCTTGGTGAAACCAGAAAGTCACTCCAGCGCACCTAGAAGTCAAGAGAGGAAGAACAGGTAATTGCATCGAACAGCTGGGACCGAGAAGTAGAGGGTAAACGGTTTCCTTGACCAGTTGTGAACACTTAAATAAACCATTCCTTCACTCTGCTTTATCTACCAAGGCAAAATGAGAATGCTAAGAGAGCTCAGAGTACACATGAAAATTACTATAAATCATACCAAGTCAGGACTGATACACATTTAATTCACCATCCACAAGCTTCCATGAAATTTTTCAGTTCATAGAAAACCACATTCAAAGTTGGTCTTTAGTGCTCGCTTTGGCAGCACATACACTAAAAAGATGGTCTTCAACCCTGCTCTTTTGGGGCATGGTGCCCTTAAACACAATCCAAATACAGTTTTTGCACAGAACTGGGTCTCAATACTGATTCCATGTGACCATGGTCAGTGATTTTAACATAACCTCTTTTAGTCTCAATTTCTTCATTTGCAAATGGGACCCATATACACTTCTCTGGCTTACTGTGCTACAAAAGATAAACCACACAATGCCCGGCACATGGCAATTACTTGGTGTGATTGTTCTCAAGTAGAAAGATTAATTTCTAGCTCTTTATGCTAGTACCGAAATTCTACCTAAGAATAACCAAGTCCTTGCCGGATGTGGTGGCAGATGCCTTTAATTTCAGCACTTAGGAGGCTAAGGCAGGAGGACTGCCACAAGTTCAAGGCCTGCCTGGACTACATAGTGAATTCAAGGCCACCCTGAGCTATATGACAAGACCCTGTCTCAAAAAACCAAAACAAGCAAAAAACAAAAAACAAAAAACAAAAAACAAAAAACAAAACCAACCAAAAGGACAACAACAAACTAAGTCCTTGGGGAGACTGCTCCAACTTCTTGATGTTTTATATCTTTCACAGAAATGTCAAGCCCAAACCAAGATCTCTGAATGAGACCAAGGCTAATTCTGGAGGAGACAGGGGGGTGGACATTTAATGAATGATTAGGCATTTGTCCTACTATTCTGACACTCAATTTCCTTTGCATTGGGAATATGCCCTCTGTCTGCCAACCTACCCATGGGATCACAGACTTGAACCGTAAATTTTCCTTAACACCTCCTAACACCCTCTGTAATTCCTACAAATCTCCACAGCTTATCAACCCCCACCACCGGCCACAGGTGCCCAGTCTGTCACTACTCCAGAAAGAGGAACGAGAGTGCTAAGAGCCACATCACCTGTAAATCTCCCCACATATTACCATTTCCAAAATGCAGGTTATGTGGAGCGAACATTTGCTCGGTCCCTGCTATAGACACCATTCTTTCTGTGAGGTGCTCACAGTTAGGTAGGGAAAGACATACACTGATCTGATCATTTACTCTCCATCATCTCTTGTTACTTCCTATCCAAGTGTACTCTGCTTATCAACCAACCAAAAGTTATTTTCTTAGCCCTTAATATATTCATTCTGTGCTGTAAGCTATGTGGAAAGTCAGAGATGAACATGTGGTGCCTGCCTTTGAGGGCCTTACAGTGGAGGGAGGAGAAAAATACATGTGAATCACTAATGTAAGAAAAGGGTTAAACATTAACTACAACTAGGTGCTAATTATAATGAAATGATTCCTGACCCTGCAAAAACCAACATTATTCCACTTGTTATTGTTACCAGCGTCACAATTCTGGAGATGAGCCAATTCACCTGGGCTCTGGCAGGAGCAAGTGAAATGGTTAAAGGAGATCTCAGCAAGACAGAGAAGCTAAGGGGCCCATGTGTTCCTCCATCTTGAACGATTCTCCCAAGTATAGACTATCTGTGGGCACTGCCTGCCTAGCCCCTGGGGCCAGGCCAGGATGAAGGCAGATAACCTCAGCTATTGCACTGAAGTAAGACTTTTCTGCCTGGCCAGCCTAAAGCTACAGAGACCGTGCTTGGGTAACAGAGGCAACCGCCAAATGTTCAACTGGGCTTTTTTTTAAAACCGTCTCTGGAGCTATTCCATGACAAGTGGAGTGTAGCCCAGACCACCTCCCATAATGTTATCCTCATTGCTGCTAACCCTCAACACCGACAACAGATTTGTGGGATAGGAGTGGCTCAGTGGTCAAGTACTTGCCTAGCATGCATGATGCCCTCGGTGTGTTCCCTCCACCACCCCTGTTCCAAATTTTTTTTCCCCTCTTGTCATACTAGGGATGGAATCCAAGAAGCACTGAGCTATGTTCCAGGCCTTTTTAATTTTTATTCTGAGAAGGGTCTCACTAATTTGCCAGGCTGGGTTCAAACCTATGATCCTCCTGTCTCAGACTCCCAAGTAGCAAGGATTACATGTACCACCATGACCAGCAAAAAAAGAAAAAAAGAAAAAAAGAAAAATTGCAACCAAAGGTAGCTCTTGCCCCAAGAGATTCCACAACTGTGCTGCTAAAGATGACCTGAGGTTTAACCAACCTCTTTTTTTTTTTCATTAGAAGCAGAATGTACCACCTTTACATCCACCCAGGACAGACTGTTTAAAACTAGTTCAGCTACTCAAGAAAACTTTATGTCAAAGCCAAATACCTTTTTTCATGCTCCCTAAACACAGAAATAGGAGGAATCCAACACTCAACTCGAGGAACTCCCTATGGACTCTGTCATCAGCGCCCACAAAGGGCCACTTCCTCAGAGACAGGACACCAGGGCGAGCGGCACAACACAGCCATTCACTGGTACTGATGGCCGTTCTGGGTAACAAATGGCCAAAGTCAGTGGCACAGCTAATGCTCAGTACTAGGACTACCGCTTTAAGCATGCCTTGGCTTGGAAGCCAAGGCTTCCCGCCAGAGCACCATCCTCCCCACCCTCCCCCTGAAATCTGAGGCAGGCCTCACCCAAAAGACTGGGTGATGGTAATGGAAAAACAGATCTCTGGGATTGCAGCCTGGACTCATTTCACAGGAGGATCTGCTGAGATCCACTCCAACTGAATTAGGCACCCCTCTCAAGTGCCCAATCAATAAACAAAAAACTGAAGTTCCCAGAATGTAAGCCAGACCCGGAAGGTATCTTCAAAGTCCCCACCTACCTGGTTCTTAAAAAAAAAAATATTGCCCCCAGAATTCAAAATACAGTCTTCCTAGAGCTAGTAAGATACCCTCTCTTTTCCCTGGTCCAGAAAGGATTGACATGCAGAAGCAGCTGCCTTGTAAACTTAAGGCCCTGCATCCTCTTTCTATTGCCCAAGCTGACAAAATGCAGCTCTCCCACATCAGGACCAGTTCCCACATTTACAGAAATCCTTCTGTTTCAAGGGAAGAAACAAACCAAAGAAAGGTACCAGCATGAGGAAAGTGAGACTCAAGAAAAGCATAGCCACCTGCCCTGCACCCTCTCTGGGCCTTAAAGGGTTAAAGCCAAGTCCTGGTTTCTTACTGGGGCTGAAGCTAATGCAAACCACCTGCCCAGATACAAGGACCAGAGCCAGCGGGTCAGGTTGCTGAGCTCCGGGGTCTGTTCTGAAAAAGCTGCAGTTTTAGGAAAGACAAGTGATAGGTTAGAGCCTGAGCTGCAGCAGCACTGATCTCCGCGCCCCGCCCCCAGCCTGGATGCTGCGCTCTGCTGGAGACTGCCTCTTAGCCACCTACTGCCTGCCTGAACATTACCTTACCTGAAGATAATACCAGTATGACCTTTGGTCTAGAGAGCTGCTAAACTGTACTGATCTCAGATCATGGCTCTCTATCGCTGCTAAACCCCCATTCGCTTAGTGCTACCTCCCACTCCCAGGACTTGTGGACTACATATGCTCCAACCTCAAAGGATTCTTCCAGGAACTCCACCCCCTTACTAGATGGTTCCAAGGCCCACAGACTCACAGCTAAAAAAATGGCTGTCCCATACGCATATCCAAGCTCAACGGCAAACTTTACTGCTCACCCTGAAAGCCTACAAGACTACAGCCATAGAATTCCATGCCCTGTACCCCTTTCTAAAAGGGATCCCCCATCTAAGAATGGTCTGTGCTCAAAGAATAAATACTATAACCCTGGGGCTCGTCCTCCAGCTCTAGAAAGGAAAGGTCAGGAGATGTAGGCAAGCAAACACCCACACTTCATCTGGCAGGTTACCCCAGAGGGACCCAGCAAAGGCCAAGCTATGGCTAATTTGCCATTAAAAAACAAAACAAAAACAAAACAAAACAAAACAAAAAGCTTGGCAGCAGTGGCTTGTGCCAGTAATCTCAGGTACTAGGGCTGAGATGGAGGAAAGGATTGCTTGAACCCAGGAGTAGTTTCAGGCCAACCTGGACAACACATCAAGACTTGGTTTAAAAACAAAAAAAAAACTAAACATTGTGGTGCACGCCTGTAAACACAACACTTGGGAGGCTGAGGCAGGAGGATCACCACATGTTTGAGGCCAGTGGGCTGGCTACACAGTGGTGAGTTCAAAGACAGCCTACCGGCCTGAAACCTTAGTAGGTACATAGCACAACCCATCTCAAAAATACAAAAAACCCACAAACAAAACAAAAAAACCTAAAACTTTCCAGTGTACCACCTGGCTTGCAGAAGGTAAAAGGCCGGACTAGCAGCTCTATGAGAAGTCATGGAGGGCCAGACAATCCTTTTCATCCGATGGGGAGTCCTGAGTAGACTGATGCAAATCCAGAGTTTCTCCACACTCGGAGGTCGGGGCAATCCAGCTTGCTGGAGTATTCCTTGGGCCCTCTGAAGAGACTAGGTTTGGGCTCAGTGCTGTACCCCCTAGACCACCACCCTTTCAAGAGTCTGGCCTTTATAGTTTGGCCCAGAGCCTCGAGGCCCTGGAAAGAAACAAGGGGGTGGGTGCAGAGAAAAGCAAGATTCCACAGTCTCTTCAAAAATGGCTTGCTGGTACCCACCCCATTCCCCCAGTGGGCTTCAGATTTTAAGGCTGTGAGCAGGAAGGTTGTCAGACCTGGTGCCGCCAGCTGCCCGCAGATACACACACGGGAGGCCGGCCACTCCAGCAGCACACCAGCACCTGCCCCCACCCTGCGTGCACGCACCCTGGTCCCTACCAGCTGACAAAATGAACCCGTTTTCCCCGTCCACCACCTCAAGCACGCCCAGGGACTCACGAGGGAACCAGAAGCCCTCTCCTGAGCTTTCTCTAAGGCTCAAGGGCAGGCACACACGCTTTCCCTCTCTGAACAAAAACACACTGACATCTATCCACCCGAGGGGAAAAGAAAGCAGTCCTCGGCCCTGAAAGGCGCCAACTCCCGGATGTTGGCAAGCTCTGCTCCCAGCGCCTGTTTCTGTTTACTTGCTCTCCCTCCCTCCCTCCCTCCCCTTTAAGGATGGTACAGGAAAGGGAGGCGAGGGGGGAGAATCCACCCCACCCCCTCGTCCATGTTTGAACAAAAACCCAGAGAAAGAGCAAGGGAGGGAAAGTCCCAGTGCGCGGGGGCCTTACCAGACTCCTAAAGCCAAACGTATCTACAGGTTTTAATCCGCCATTAGCATTTAAATCTTGAAAGGAGAGGAGGAAGGGGAGGCAGTGGAAAGTAACCCCACACACAAAAGAAAAGTTGTTGGTTTTCTTCTCAGTCAGCCTGGCAGGAGCGAGCTTCCTGGCTGACAGCCAGGAGTGCGTCACAGCCGGGAGTCTGCTTTCTTTAAAGGCGCAGCGCGCTTCCGCGATCGCGGGCGCAGGCCGCGCGGGAGCTGGCGGTGGGGGCGGGGGCGC